TAAGCTACATCCCCAGCCATCTTTTTGCTTTTTATGCAGGAGTTAGGGTCTTCCAGGCTGGCCTGAAACTTTGTAACACATGCCCCTCCTGCATCAGTCTCCAGAATAGCTGGATTTCAGACCTGGACCTACTTCTTTATGCTTTACATCCCTTAAAACAATCTATGCTTCAAACTAGTTGGCGGATGATGGGACCAGGAACCAAGGACCAGCAGGGGTGCTCACTGGCTGGAAGAAGTTGGAAATGTTGCACCTTTCAAAAAGAAAACTTAGAAAACAAAAAAAGTCTTCTAGCACTTTTATTTGTTTGGGTTTTGGTTTTTTTGTTTTTTTGTTTTTTTTTGAGACATGGTCTCTCTGTAGCTCCAGCTGGCCTGGAACTCTAGGTAGACCAGGCTGGCCTTGAACTCACAGAGATCTTGCTGGGATTAAAGGCATGCACCACCACACGTGGCCTAGCAATTTTTTCTTAATTCTCAAATTTGCACGGGAGAAAAGAAAGCAGAGGTGTTCTCTGTTGCCACAGAGGTAGAATTCTAACATCCGCATACAAATTAGAGATGTTTCTCATTCAATATAAGGGGCATGTAGCATGCTGTGGGTAAGTGGAAGAGGTCTGACATAAGACAAACTTGACTTTGAATCTCTTCTCTATTGCTCGCTGGTTATGTGGCTCCGGGAAAATCATGTGTGCTCTACAGAACTCATTTTCTACACATTCAAACTATGCAAGGTTGATCTGAGGATCGGAGGCAATAATCACTTAGCTTGTGAGTTGGAATGCAAAAGCGCTCACAACACGACTACTGCAATTTTTATGCCAGATTATAACTATCTAACCCTGGCTACATGGAATACTCAAACAAGAGGTAAAGGAAGCAGACTGAGGACAGACCAGGCCATCTCCGATAAGATAACTTAAAGGAAAAAGGCAACACACAGTTGAAAGCTGGAAAAGAAAAAAACCTTGCTTCTTACTTGGGCCCTTATCAGCAATGCTACTTTGCACAGTCATTAGCTTTACCCACCTTGTTCCACTAATGGCCCCTAACTTTATGACTCTAACTCCCCCTCAACCATATGGTAACACTCTGGGGAGCACATGTACAAAATGAACTGTACTGCTGATAGACCCGCCGCCATTGGTCTCTGCTGCCCCTCACAGCAGTCCCTACAGTTTCTGTTGTTTAAGGAGAAAGCAGCCGGGATGGCAGGACAGGCCTGTGGCACCATGGCTTAGGATGCTGCCTGTGGAGTCTTTCCTTTCCCAGGAATGTCTACGGTATTTAGAAGGCAGATAGTGCCTCGTCTCCAGGATGGACCAGGGGCTGTGATGACTCTTCTTTGGGCCCTCACCTCTAGGTGTGGAACATTCGTAGGTTTTCAGATACCTAGCCATCTGGGCTGGAATGCAGGGAGCTCAGCCTGACACATCTTCCATCAACTTCCTTGCAAAGAAAGATCTCAGAAATGCACTCTGTCCTCATTCATCTGACCTCAGGCAGCCCTGCACTGTTGGGCCTTTATCTCTTCATTGATCTCAAACCTGACGGGTACCCTTCTCTTGAATGCCCATGACAGAAGGTCAAACATTCCTAGTCTTCACTGAACAGACTCCATCCATCACAGAACAGACAGAGCTCGCACTCAGGAGTGGCGGCTTGCAGCATCTTCACCTCATAAATCCTGACTAGAAACTTCTCAGCCAGCTCTTCTTTGCCTTCAGTGAACATTTCTGATTTGGTTCCCCCTGAAAGCAGAATTGGGCAGGTGGAAGCTCTGAAGCCAGATAGACCCGACCAGGCATTTATTACACAACATAAAGTCAGTCTATTCAGGCCCTTGGCCCATGCATACCACAATAGAATGAACACTCTACTAAAGTTATCTACCACTTAGCTCCCAGAGTAGCTGCAAGATCTCAGGCAAATTATCTTTGCTTCTCTGCAACTGTCTCCTCCTCTGGGAAAAGTGACAGCTATAAAAGGTGAATGGGAAGGAAGCAAGCCATTCTACGCTCACAGCAGAGTTGGCTAAAGACTTCCTTCTTTCGCTTTGCAAACCACATGTCCTTGGCATGTTATTTAATAATTTAATGGCTCAGAGCTATAAAATACAAATTAAGACTATCTGTCTTTCAGGAATGGGGAGGAAATTAGAGATAATACCTAGAGAGTACCAGGCATGAAGGGTAACATGGCCTTCTGCTGGCAGGGTGACAGGCATCTTAAGTTGGCATAGCAGCAGAGTCACACAGTGTCTGGAGGCATCGCCCTCTTCAAAGGGTAAAGTAGATAACAGTCAGTCAACGCTGTCACTGCCAAGGAAGGGCACTGAGGCAGGCATTGTGAGTGCGGCTGATGAGCCACACAAATGAATCAGAGCCGGACTCTAGTCACACGAGCCACCACTATACGCTCTGCAAACTCTGCCTTCTGCTCCCTGCTCCCTGCCCTGCCTCAATAGTCCTCTACAGTTGAGTTCAAAGAGGAACTCTCAACGTGTCCATCCCTTCCCCACCCCTGTGCTTTCTCTGGCCATCTCTCACCTAGCAGCAGCTTTGTCTCATGATCCGCCCTGCCCAAGTGCATAATGAATTCTTAACATGGCCCAAATAAAATTGTTTCAAAGTATATTATCATGTTTTCTAGAATTTCCCACAATTCAGCTTGATGAGGGATCATGGCTAAGCAGGAGGGATAATAGCTCCTGGTACGTTGACATATAGCTCAAGTCTTCCCCCTGGGAAAAAAGTTTATATTCCTCAGGCATGGCAAGACAGAGCCGGGGTGCTGGACACTTGCACCTGACATTCCGGTTCATTCCCACAACAGCCTCTCCGAAGGAGAAAATCATATTGTCTCTGTTTTGGAGAGGAGGGATGGGGCCACAATCAGGCAACATAGGCAGCCTTGAGCTGGCTTCCTGCATGTTCAGTGGGGATGCTAAGCAAGCCACACAGGAAGTATGAGGATTCCTTCTCGTCGTGAGCTTCAAGGCTTTTGCCCATATCCCCTCAGCAAGTGTGGTGATAAACTGTCTGGCCTCACTGTGCTTCCTTCTAGCTCTGTGGGTAAGCTGTAGAGACTAGTGAGATGCCTGGAAGTAGCATAGATTCAACAACAGCATGGATTGCAAGTGTTTTTTTGAGCCAGGAATCACAACATCATAGCAGGCTCTCATCTGCTCTGGGTGGGATATGGCTTGAGCACAGTACCTAAGGACTCGTAGATTGGAAGGTCAGTCTGTGGAGTGGCAATATTGGGAAGTAGTGTGTACTTGTATGAGGTGGAGCTTTGAGGTCTCTAGGACATTGGAGTATACCCAGAGAAGGGATTGTGGGACCCTAGTCTCTCTCTGGTCCCTCTAACAATGCACTCTCATCTTCCTACATATTTGTGACATTATCTGGTGTTAGACCCTCACCAGGAAGCAAACCAAATCATCCCTACCACTAAATCTTGGATGTTGAACCATGAACTATGAATTAAATAAATATCCATTCCCTATAAAGTTAGTCAGTCTTAAGTATCTCATTATAGTAATAAAAATAAATAACGAATACACCATCATAGTCAGGAACAGAAAACTTCTACATAGCCTCCACTAGAGCACCTTGCCATTATACATTGTCCAAATGCATGTATACATTCTCCAAATGCATTTACGGCTCCGCTTGTAAAATTATATGAATTAGGAAAGCTGTAGCAGTCAGGAGGGTCGGAATTACGCTATCTTCTCAGTGTAGCTGTCTGCGTCCGTTGAGTGAATAGAAGCATGACTAGGGTCACATTACCCAGCAGCTCTGTATACACCGCATGATTTGCAGCCAAGAAGAGCAGTTAAGAAATGTTAGCTTGGGTACACACAGAAAACTTAGGACCTGCTGGCCAGAATTTGTGAAGTCAGGCCACAAGGCTGAAATAAAATCGGTTCCATGCTCTCAAAGAAGCAAAGCTTTAACCCTCAAAAGTCTTGAGTTCAAGTCTCACCTCTGCCCCAACACCAACTGCATGACCTCAGGAGGAGCCCTCTTCTTCCTAGTCATGTCTTTGTCATTTGAGATGTGAAGAAGTGAGACCAAAAGAGCTTGCGGCACGCTTCTAAATCTGGTATTCACATTTCTCCACTGGCCAATTCCTTCTACCTAGCCTCAACTTGAGCAGCACCCCCATTATATAGTTTTCAAATGCACCTCACTCTCAGCTTGTATAATTATAGATACTAGGAGAAGGAAAGCTATAGAATTGTATCAGTCATCCTGTTGCAGGGATAAAATACCACGGCCAAAGGTAACTTAAGGAAGAGTTTACTTTGGTTTATGGTTCCAAAGGGAGAGTCAGTCCATAATAGCAGATGGCTGGAACAGGAAGCTGAGAGATCACATCTCAAGCCATACCCAGGATGCAGAGAGAATGAACTGGGTGGAGTAGGACAGAAGCTCTAGACTCTCAAAGCCAGTCCCCCAGTGGCATACTTCTCAAGCAAGACCACACCCCTAAACCTCCCTGAAGGATGCCACCATCTGGGGACCAAGTATTCAAACACCTGAGCCTATGGGGGACATTTCTCATTCAAACTACCTCAAGAATCAAAGACACAAACAGTTGTGACTGTATCTCAATATTAGAATGTCAGAAGCAGCTACTGAGGGCATAATACATCCTGAACCAACACCTGCCTCAGAATGGTCCAGATATGCAGATAGGGGAATCAAAAAGGAGAGGTTCCAAACATTAGGGGCTAGGCTTTTAATTCAATCAGATGAAATTCACAAGTCTCTCTCTCTCTCTCTCTCTCTCTCTCTCTCTCTCTCTCTGTCTCTCTCTTTCTTTCATTTATCCATCTATGCATTGGGTCAAAAAAGTCCTGATAAGGGACACATTAAGAGGCAAAATTATCATTTACTTTTCTGTCCACTGCCCCTTCCCTGGATGCTGATGGTTCTTTGTGCCCAACCTGGGCCACCTGAGCACTGGGCGTGGCCTCATCAAACTCACCTGAGGGACCAGCCATGACAGAGCAGTTAAGATGCATATTTCCACTGGGTATGGGTAGTACACACTTGAGGCAGAAACGGGCAGATCATATGAGTCTGAGGCCAGCCTGGTCTACATAGCAAGCTCCAGGCCATCTGTCTCAAAACAAAAAGCGTATTTCTAACCTCCCTCACTGTTCTAGTTTCGTTTCTGTTGCTGATAAAATACGCTGACAAAACACAGTAGGAGGAGGAAAGGTTTATTTTAGCTCACAACTCCAGGTCACAGTCCGTCACTAAGGCAAGGCAAGGCAGGAATTTGAAGGCCTGTTTGCTCTTCACACAGCATTACCTCTGACGGAGGAACTCACTTCACAGCCGAAGAAGCGCAGCAGGACGTATGAAGAAGGCTACTCGCTAGCTGGCTCACAGGCTGGCTTACACTCAGCTACCTTCATTATACTGCCCAGGCCCACCTGCCTAGGGGTGGCACCTCCCACGGTGGGCTGGGTCCTCCTCCTACATTAATGAACAATCAAGACAATCTCCCACAGACATGCCCACAGCCAATCTGATCTAGGCAATTCTTCGGCTGAGGTTCTTCTCTCAGAAGACTCCGGGCTGTGTCAAGTTGACAGTGAAAGCTAACCAGGACACCGACAGAGCTCTAAGTTAGATATTTTTTCACAGAGTACTGGCCTGCCCTATTTCCTATGCTTACTTAATTTTGAGGGTCATCGAGTGAATACATAGCCCAGTTGGAGACTCCTCAAATACACCAGTTGCCTAACAGCACAGAGAATCATATTAAATGTCTAATAATCTACTAGTTTCACTTTCAAAGCTAGTCATTTCATATGGTTCAACCTGACCTGTTAGTTTACTTGATTTAAATCTCATCCCACATTCATGGTAGACATGCTGATTTCTATTTTACAGTAAGAAGAATGCTCCCAGAGCTTAGGTCACTAGATTATTAGGATACAAGATTATTTACAAAAGAAGGAAATAGAGTCTCACAGGCTCCCGGGACCTTGCTCATATGAACTTTCAGCAATGATGTCAGCATGTACAAGGCCCATGCAAACTCAATCAGACAAAAACCAGCCTAGAACTAGAAAAATGGGCAGGAGACCACAAACTTATCTGAGAACTATTAGCAGCTGATCACTGCTGGGCGAGGGAAAGTTGACTTCTTTAAGGGAGTGACACTAGTTAGGCTGAACAGGCTTCAGTGGGTGAACTCACACCTAGAGATATCTGGGTACACAAACTTGACTCAATTGATAGACCTTAACATACATAACAAAATGCATCAAGTCCTATGGGCAGACTATGGAGGGTTACAGACAGAAAAGGGGTGGGGTGGGGTGGGGGCTAAATATGATTAAGATGTACTGTATGAAATCCACAAAAATTCAGTAAAAAATATATTTAAAAACTTTAAATAACAACCTTCTTTAAAAAAATGGAAATTGAATGGAGATCAGTCTGACGCACACCACCTTCCTCTGGTCTGGTCCCAAACAACTGACCCTGTTCCTCAGGAGGACGCAGGACAGATATGTGTCATCTTGGACAGGACAGATGTGTGTCATCTTGGCCATCATCAGCTTGTCACTGCCTCTGACTCCAAACGAAGTCCTGAGTGTCCCTAGGGGCTTGGGCTATACGCAAGTTTTCAGAAAGCTTTTCTCTTGTCCAAAACTGAAGTGATATTTTTCCTGGAAGGGCTGTTCAAAGACAAGCAAGGCTACCAATTAAACTTGAAGCAGCTTAAACCTAAGCATCTCTCTGAATAACATCATGCTTACCCCTGCCTGGAAGAAGTGCCAAGAGCCTGCCCCAGCCAGCTATGATGCTCACATAGCCTCTTGGTTTGATGCCCCCAAGGGATCCGCGTCCTTAAGTGGCCTGAGGGATGAGCGGGAGTGCTCCCATCTACAGAGTCCTCACTTCTGTAGACTGAATAGTGAGGAGCCCTGTGCCCAGAAGAGGAGGCTGAACAGAGACTCCAGTTCCCATCGGTCATAGCCTGGGCTGGGGCCCTGGAAGGCATCTTGTCCAGGAGACCCCCTAGGTCACGTCTGTGGTCTCTTTGGCTCCCTGGGGAATGTTCAGTATGGTCATTCTTGTTTTATACGTAACATGTAGTTTCTTTTCTGACAGAGTCTGATTATATATTATCCCAGGTTGGCCTTGAATTTACAATCCTTCCTCAGCCTCTCGAGTTCTGAGATTATAGGCATGTGCCAACATGTCTGGTTGCTGTAATCTTAGAAGTAAGAAAATTAAGACATGGTTAATATTTTTCCCAGGCTCATAGAGAGATCGAGCTCAGGCCTATCTGTTTCCAAAGACCTTCTTCCAAAGTCAAGAGGGGTGGGAGAGAGACAAAGAATGGGGGCTTATTGTCAGCACTGGGCAAAGTTCCTTCTTCTCCAATGTCTTTGTTTCTTCTACTTCCTGTGGAGAAGGTATCATTGTGCCCATTGCACAGGTAAGAAAAAATGAGGCCCAGGGCATTGCCTTGCCCGGCATCCACTCGTGATAAGCAGCAGAGCCAGGCTATAGCCCAGGCTGGTATGAGATTCCCACTCCTGTAGGCCACTTCTTCAACACTGTATCCCAAAGTCGAGATCTGAGACACAGTCCCCTCCATCCAGCGGACAGCCAGGGTGCAGCTGAGGCCGGGGAGATGTTCTGGGCTTGTTGACAGGAAGGTGGCATTTTTCTCTCCACTGCCTGCTGTAAACATACTCCCTGATCACGGCCCTGCTTCCTTCATCCTCTTCCATTCCCCCACGTGCTAGGGACAACCCCAAAGCTTTGCACGAGCTGGGCAATCGTGCCTACGTTGAGTCATATCAGCTCCTCTTCATCTTGCTTTGTACTTCCCACCTCAGCAAGAGTCCAGGCTCCTTGAGTCCTTTGCAAAAACTCAGTCCCAGGGATTCAGTCAGATCAAAGGTCATGCTAGACTAGCCTCCTGATAGTCTAACATGATATATGGCTAGTCCATTATATGTCAGGCATATATTCGGTAAGGAAACATACCAAAGTCTGATTTTGTTCATAATAAGAAGAAAATTATAAAAATGGAAATAAGAACAAAGCAGCTGCACATACCAAGCTTTTTCTTTGTGTCAGTGAGCCTTTGCCTTCGATATAGTAGTTGTGACAACTGGATAGAACATTTGCTATTACTGTGCCTAGTTCACCAATAGTTTCTCAGGCACAGAGAAATGGAATAACTTATAGGAAATCACACAGCAGGGAGCTGGCAGACAGGGCATATGAACCTGGGTCTTTTTGAGCAGTCTGCCTCCTCGTCTTTAAAAGAGGAGGCCTCCAGGAGGAATAGGATTCTCAGGTGTCACCTTAGTCAAGATGTTTATCCTCTCCAAACTTCCCCTTCCTTTCCTGTAGAGCTGGGGGCAGGGGGGCAGGCTCTGGGCCCATTCATTTCAGTAGTCTGTCCTTCTATACCTTGTGGGGGTCCTTTGGTGTTGCCAGGCACAGAGCTGAGTGAGTGTACACTGACTAGAACCAGAGACACAGATGGCATCACCAGAGTGCAGTCTGCTGAATGGAACAGGACATGTTCGCATATCCAGAAAAGCTTGCAGTAACTGTAAGCCTTACATAAATTATTATCACTTTCACTCCATGCAACACGAACGGCTTGCTCTCCTTGGGATACACACTTCCTCATCTTCTCTCTCAGCTCCCTCACTGCTCAGATGGGCGTCTGAGCCAACAGGAATTGTACACACAAATGCTCTCAGAACTTACAACACATGGGAATTTTTCTGCTTTTAATCCTCCAGGAGCATTGGACTGGGAAACTCCCAAAGGTGACTCAGAGATTTTCAGGGAAAGTGGTAAAAGCTGAGGCTTTCGAGTCCCTCTTTCTATGTTCTGTAACCTCCTGCCAACAGTAGTAGCTCTGAATCACAAGGTGCCCAGTGAGAGTCTCAGCATTTGGGGGCCATTTGCCCCTGGATACTGGATTGGCCAAAGGGTCTCTGGGCAAGTCCCTTCAAGCTTCAGTGGCCTCATCCCTAGACCGTGTGTAATATTTCTCCTATTGTTCCCAGTCGGTGTTGGTGTGCACAGTAAAAAGGAAAGCACGGTCTTGTGCCACTGCTACCTGCACAACAGAATTCATTCATTCTCCATTTATCCAGCACTTGCTTCATGGGCCAGTGAGAGAGCTCAAGTGGATCAACGCTGTTGCCTTGAAAGCCTGACAACCTGAGTTCAACCCCCAGAACCCATATAAAGGTGGAAAGAGACCTGAATCCGCAAAGTTGTCTTTTGGCCTCTACACATACGCTAGTAAACACACACACACACACACACACACACACACACTGCACACATACAACCAATAATAACAAATAAAATGAACATTTTAAAATCTAAGAAGGTAAGCATTATCATTGGAGCCTGACAGGGAAACAGGGAAGGAGGAGCAAGACAGCTACACCTAGAATGGACGGGCAGATGAACGGACAGAGCCGTGGCCACTGGCAGAGGGGCACAGACTCCCCTCCTCACCTCATGCAGGAAACACTGACACAAATGGGCCCAGGGACACACACTGGCTATGGATCAGGGTCATCAGACACAAAGCAGGGTGAGGAGGGAGGAGGGAGGGGTTCATGGACGCAATCAGAAAATACTGGCAGGAGCCACTGCAGCGATACTGCCATTCTCCATCTTAGAAGGATGTTCTGCATGTGGACGAAAATGAGAACTGCCTGACGAGATGGGAGACCTGCAGGCTGTCGCAGGCACCCAAGTAGGCAGCAGTGTGGTCCTAAGCCAGGGCACTAGGTTAAAAAGACTGCCCAGGTCATTAAATGAGGTCTCCCTAAGCCTCAAAAACCTGCAGGGGTTGCAGGTGGAGCTCAGGGGTAGAATTCTTGCCTACAATGCATAAGGCCTTGGGGTTGAGTCCCAGTATTGTTAACTTTAAAAACAACATAAGGAACAAAAAAACATCCTCTTTCTCTGTCCCCACCTCCATTGCAACTACTTTTATACACACACACATAAACACACACACACATACATACACATACACACAAACATACTCAGATGGACTGATTGGCCAGTGCCCCCACCACAACTGCC